ATGATGATAAACAGTCGTATGCATCACAATTCACGACCATTATAAATAGTAACGTAAAATGATGTTTTATATTAATATACAAGTTTCGTAAGGAATAAATGAAAACTTTATTCAAATTTCAAAGCCGTCTTCGCGCGAAAACGGTTCACCGGCAGCCTTGTTGTCGTTCAGTCAATGTGGCGGTTAAATAAATAAAACCGATAGTTATGCTCGACACACATTTTTTTAATTCGTGGTTTCGTAACGCCTACACTAAAACGTTCAGACACTTCCCAATTGGCACGAACAGACACTTCCCTGAGTCTTCAGGCACTAGCGAGGGGGGTCGATAGTGCGACCAGTGTTGAATCCGAAGTCCCGTCCCGGAGTCCGTGCGAATACGTGGAAAACCCGCAACACGTAGTTCGTGGTCCGGAACGTGGAGCCTGGGAATAAATCCAACGCAAAGCTAAAGCCGAAAGATATTAAGCTAGCCGCTTTGTACTATTTTAGAACAATATAACTAATTAATTAATTAAATAGAAGCGAGCTAGCAGTGTAATTATACAATTATACTTTACTAAATATTTAAAAATTACGTAAATGCAAAGGCTGATTAAAAATGATAAAGCGAAATTGAATAGCCGCCATTTTGGAGTGGTGCAACATGAATAGTTACGGCGCGAATCGCTGCACCGTTAAGCTAGCACACAAAAAATACAGCACGGAACAAATAGATTATGAGTACACTTTAATACACAAAAACTAGTTACACATAAGTATCTAATAAGCATAAGCACGTCTGATCACACTTACCCAATAACGGGGAAGAAACAACACTGAATTTAGTTTGTTCAGGTAAAGTATTCGTTACTACTTGTAACAATTTTGTATTTTAAATTAATGACCGTTCGGAGCGGAGCTCGGTTAGAAATGAATGCGGTGGAGAAGGGTACGCGCTAGTAGGTTTGTTCAAAATGGATTGACACGAAGCATAAGAGCCTTATCACACTGGCGATTTGCGAGAGATTCGAAATCATTGCGACAGCGCGGCGCGCACGTAGCATCAACGCTCTCCCTAAGCATACCGCAGTTTTGTGTTTGTATTGAATCCTCTGTCGAGCCGTAATTATTACGGCGCTTTATGAAAGGGTATATTTCAGATAGTAAAATAAAAGGCACATTTTCTATCTATATACAAGATGTAATTCTCAATAGAACATGTTTTAACATCATGAAGTTAGATATAGACATCATTCGCTTTCAAACTTACAATCAAAGCTCTCTTATGTACGAACCACATCTGACGGAACGGATGGAGGTGAAGAAGGTGCACGCATCCCGCGTGTCGTCGTGGATTTGAGAGCGCATTCTACTTTCGTATACTTTGATCAAACGAAAGGGAAGCGACGGTGGCACTTGAGCTCAAACACAAATTTGACCCTTCACTATCACCAGAACTGCACATTTCAATTTCCTTTATAGCATTTTCAAATGCGCTACCGTTCGCATTGATCGTCAGGTGTGAATCATACTTTATAAGTTCCAAATTAACGAAAAAAACTGTCTTCCCTTAGAAACCTGTCATTTTTTTACAACGATTTTACGAAACAATTTAATTCATACAAATCGAACCTACGAAGAATGTTTTTACCACCGTTTTGAAACATTTAATATTCACACACAATAATTGATGAAATTAAAAACAATACAAATGAAATTATTAGAGGCTGACTAGAAATACTAGAGGTCGCCAATAAAAAAATACACAATTAAAAAACAGCAAATATATTAGTAGCTATTTTTTTGCTATTGTATTATCTGTTACACCTAGCCCTCCCCTTGGAAGAGACAGTCGTGTTTTTTTGTCCATTATTGTTTATAGGTCTATACAGTGTACTAGGCGTTCATGTTGAAAACTGCTTGTGGCTATTCCTATTCAGCCGGTAATAAGGAAAAAACAAATATCAATCTCAGAAATATTCTACACAAAAATGTCTGTGTACAATCAGCATCAGAAGTGCTTAAACCGGGTTAGAAAGTCATACATAAAATTTTGTCCTCGTAACGAAAAAAGGCACAACTACGCTCACTTTATACAGCAGTTGTGCCTTTTTTCGTTCTGAGTGCAGAATTACTTTCGGTGAAATGGTACAACTTTACCTATCAACGGGATTGCAATAGTTGCAAAGTAGCTGACGTCATGGGTAAAATGGACTTCAAGACACAAGCTGTACTAAGACGAGCACAACTTCTACATCAGCTATTTTAAAATGAACCATATCAAATGATCGTATTAATTTCTGAAACGTTGAATCAGCTTATAGATATAGTTTACAAATGTACATATTTAATGTTAAAAAGCATTGAGTTTGCAAAATGAAAACTGTTATAACTTTACTTGTTGGCGGCATTGGTACGGTTGCTGATGTAACATGGTAAGGTTGCTGATGTAATAGGTAAGGTTGCTAATAAAATAGGTAAGGTTGCTGATGTAATATGCAAGGTTGCTGATGTAAAAGGTGAGGTTGCTGACATAATGAGTAATGTAGCTGTCGTCGAGACCAAACCAAACCACACAAAACCAGCAACAGATGGAATTTTATTGGAATGTTTGCACCTTCTGATATTGACCATACATCATACATCTTTGGTTTAGCGAAATAATTAACAAAATAGGCGAATTAAACACGCAAAAACTATCACTCCACGTAGACTTATATACCATATTAAATTGGTAAACAAAGGATACAATGAGAACAACAGAATAATAAAGAAAAGGTTATTGGAAGTATTGTCCAATAATTTAGCAATTTAGGGGGACAAGGCTTTGGTCAGAACACTTCAATAACGTAATGACATATTTGGAATCACATTTTTATCAAACTGCAATGTAGATTATAAAGGGTGAAATGCTGAAGCATACTGACAATTGTGTAGTCACACGAGTTGCATCCAGACTGCATTGCAATTGGAATGTAGTTTAGATGCAATGAATACGACTGCACGCCTACTGCATTCCAATTGAAATTTTGCAATTACGATGCAATCTGAATGCAGACTGTACCTTAAGTGTGAACCCTAAGGTAAAGTATTTTGGACAGCTATCCTGTTCATAATCTTCACTATCAAAAACATGGTAGAAATAATATGCTAGCCCAGATGTACAGTTATCAGTATAGAATTCCATACAACATAAAAATCACAACGAAAATGTAACGCTGTAAAGCTCGCACCAAAATATAGGGTTTTTCAATAAGAACTTTGTTTTGTAAATCAAAATAAAACAATAAATTTAGATGACAATGATTCAAATTTTTATTGTATTAATAAAAGTAAGGTTTGGCAATTATTAATGAAAAATGATATCTGATAAATGTCCACCACGACCACAGTTACAGATGTCGATTCTTTCCATAAAGTTTTTAATCACTTTTTGAGAAAGTGGTGGCTTTATTTGGTTAATCACTTCAAAAATTGTGAGTTTTAAGGCTGCAATCAATTCGATTGGCTCCGTATAGACTCTGTCTTTAACATAACCCCATAAAAAATAATCCAGCGGTGTTAAATCATATGATCGAGCTGGCTACTTAACGGCTGAATTTCGGGAAATTACGCGATCAGCAAATTTGGTTTGCAATAAATTAATTCATTGTTTCGGTGGCAATGTGACTTGTGCCGTTGGCATTGGGCCGTTTTTTTTCGAAAATTCGGCTGGAAATGCGGTAACGGTGAATGGATCACGCTATCGCGAGATGTTAACAACTCAATTTTGGCCTAGCATTGATGACATGGATATCACTGACATGTGGTTTCAACAAGACGGTGCCACATGTCACACAGCCAATGAGACGATCAATTTATTGCAAACCAAATTTGCTGATCGCGTAATTTCCCGAAATTCAGCTGTTAAATGGCCAGCCAGATCGTGTGATTTAACACCACTGGATTATTTTTTGTGGGTCTATCTTAAGGACAGAGTCTATACGGAGCCAATCGAATCGACTACAGCCTTAAAACTCAAAATCCGCGATGTGATAGCCGAAATAGACCCGACATTTTGCCAAAAAGTGATTAAAAATTTTGATGAAAGAATCGACTTCTGTCAGCGTGGTCGTGGTGGACATTTGCCAGATATCATTTTTCATTCATAATTGCCGAACTTTTCTCTTTGTAATACAATAAAAATTTGAATCATCTTCATCTAAATTTTTTGTTTTATTTTGTTTTAGAAAACAAAGTTCTTGTTGAAAGACCCTTTATCTTGAACACTCAAAGGCTAGGGACTTCTGATAGTTTGTATCTAGAATTTTGAGATACAAAGTATGGGACACGCTACATTGACATTCTTTTCGCCTTTACACGGGGTCAAGGAGCTTGGCACAGCCTGTGCTAAGGCTGTAGCAAAATTTCTACCTCAACCAATTTAAAATGATCTTTTTGACAAATTACCTGATTAACTTAAAAAAAATTAATCAATCAGCTTCATGATTTTCTTATGTCCTAAATCAACTATAATATTATCGTTTTTGTTGCATAGTGTATGACAAATTTTAGTTTGAAAATTAATGCCCCATTTCCACTCTTGTATAAGAAAGGTAATAAACAGTACTATTTTCTCGAGTTGTCGAGTGGGAACTACCATTTGTAAACGTCATCGAAGTGAGGTGTTTCCTGTCAGAAACGTCATTTTATTGCTTAATGTATCTCTAACATGAGTTCTCAATGACAGTTATCGCTAGTGATTGTGTAAAATAATTGTAAACAAAATGTTACATCTTTTGACCGTTAGAGGCGCTGTACAATTGTCAAACACGTTACACAGTCGCTAGTGCCACCTGTCACTGGTTGTCAAAGCACTCACTGAGCATATAACCACTACGTTTAAAGCACTGATCATTACATTACACAGGGTAACCTATCACAAACTCGAATTTATTTTTTTCGAAATAACGTGTGTACGAATTTTCACTACCCCGAAAACCGAATTATAATGAAACCGTTGTTCTTTCGGGATATGTCGGATGTTTATCGCAAAGACACGATTAGGTTCGGTTAGGTTAGGTTAAGTCAGCATTTTCCTCTCAAAATTACTTTCGAGGTTATGAAAAATCAAGCAAACGTTATTTCTGGAAAATGTCATTTCAAACTTCTGTTAGGTAACCATACACAGGTATCTTCGATCGATGTTGTGGCATTTCTTAACGTCAGTTCGGATGTGTGTTCGCATGTTTAGCTGATTACGCTTTTTTCGTTCGAAAATGGTAGCAACCATTGAATTGAAATTTTAATATGCAACATAACCAACACCATTGTTGGTAGTAAATTATTTGCGACAACACATGTGTCAAGGATCATCTTACATTGGCTGTAAGCAACAAATGTTAAAATTTCACACTGCAGACATTCACGTGTCGTAATCTTCGTCAATTTGTAGATTACCGGAATTGATATGATCTATATCGACTGGCGGAGTCGGTTTCTCCTTTTTACTGTCTTTCATAGGTTTAGAATTTTGCCTTTGCAATTTCTTTTCCTTAACACCCACTATATTTGCGACTGCTGTATCTAAAACCTTGATTTCAGGTTTATCCAAATTTTTTGAGAAATCTATATTTAGTATCGGAGTGACTGGGGTGCGTGGAGTTTGCATTTTGGTTATATTATTGTTTTGACTTACGTCTAAATAGAAAAGGGGTTTTATATCGGGCTTTGGCACGTCTATTCTTTGTACAGTCTCAACAGGTGTCAAGTTCGCGTAACTTGTGGTTGGTGTCGCGAAATTAGATGTCGAAGGTTGCGGACTACTGTATGTTGGATTAACCTTAATGACACTTTTATGTTGTACTTGGTCTACTACTAAAGTCTCTTGGTAAAAATTAGCCGTCCGTACAGGTTTGTCCTCTCGCTTTGTTGTCAAGTCAATGGCGGCATCGTTTGACGTTACCGTTATTAATGAGTGAGGCAATCTTGACGCGAGAGGTAATGCTGGCGGTGAACATAACACTGATCCTGTAGGCAATGCTGTTGATAAAGGTAACAATGAGGGTATTGGTAAAGTTGTTGACGCGACAGGTAAGTTTGCTGACGTCGTAGGTAAAGTCGCTGATGGCATAGGTAAAGTTGACGTCATGGAGGTAATAGTTTCTGTTCGTGGTCTTGGTTCTGTTTCGGCAGAAAGATCCCGCTTCAGGTTCTCTCTAGGACCTCTTATTTCGGAGCTACTGGAACTGTTGGAGTCCTCTCTTACTATTCTACGCGGTGGCACTGACATATCCGAATGCCTGTAAATAAAATAAGACTGTTAACAAACGCGGCTAGTAAGGGTACTGAAAGATGTAGAATATATTAGTGCATTCTTACACGAGCTGCTTTCCTACTGCATAGCAGTTGCAAAATAACAATTTGGTTGCAGTTGACACGACTGCGTTACAGCTGGACAATTTGAGTGCAGTCGGTGTACGTAATGTACTAGCAGTTGGCAATCGCGATGCAGTCACTTATTTTGCAGTCGGAATGCAGCTCGTCACTCACTTAGATCAATCAAAGTGACACGATGTATTTTCAAAAAAGTATTCGTTTATTTCATCAACGACAGGCGGCGTAACGTTTGAAGGAGTGACGTTTTGTTAAAAATTACATAAAACAGCCATACAATATCATTTCATGTCTTAAATAATTTTTTTATTAAATTTTACCCAACATCTGCTGTTCAGGTTTTCTCCTGCAATACTATGAAAGAATACTGATATGCTGTTATGTCTATTTACACGCAAAATAGAAATGAAAATTAAAAATAAAATTACGGTTCACTTTTAATTATTTTCATGAAAAACTCACGCAATCACTCAATAAGTTAACTATACCAAAATTATTTCCATAAAAAAAGATTTGATGACTACAAAGATGTCCCCTCATCTGGTAAGAGCGGGTATTCACGCCGACGTATAGCAGCGATGCAAACGCGATGCAGTAGCCGATGTCTACCTTTACACACACGCGCGAGTTACATGTTATAAACGACTAAGTGAGTCGTTTATAACATAACCGTATTGCCTTTATTTAGTTGTAAGTTCGCAATGTATATGAATAAATAAACAAATAAAGGGGTAGTTCCGACAGCGAAGTAAAATTCACATAGTGAAAGAAGATATTATGGCTAATTTTGTCTGTTTTATAAAAATAAAAGCGAAACACACATTGAATTCAAAATCGTCAATACTGCTATTTTTTTTATAATATCTAGTGATGGCACGAACAAGTCGCGCGCCTGATTGTAGTCTACACGCCTGTCAATGACAGTTGCTGTGCCACTCAGAGCTTTGAACCACAAAGATCTGAGGGGCACTGCGCCTGTCACCCTGAGACATAAGTTGACAAGTCCCATGTGTCTGTAATTTCACCAGCACCCGCATGCTCACGTTACTGCTTGGCGGCAGAAACAGGTAAGGTGGCAGTACTTCCCTGGACGAACTCTTTCACAAGGAGCTCTACTGCTACTAACTATTTATTTATTTATAAGTGCTATACATGTGTCGTCGTCACCAAACTATACTTATACACTAACAAACACATGCACCTTGCCAGGTATCGCAACATGAAAGGGAGAGGGGCACACATTAATTATAATTTAATCGAGAAATCGACTCATCCGAAGAACATAATCCGATGTGATAATATAGCGAAAAAAAAGATAATAATTACGTTACGAAAATAATTTCGTTATTCAAACTACAGCCTATGTGCCTTTACATGTTTTGCGAATATATCTCATATCGTTTCAGAAATATAAAATCGAACAACGGTCGATCTGATATCCACAGCGAAGAAGAACGAACGAAATTTACTATGTCCTGAGAACAAATAGTCTGGCACATAGATCTTTGTTCTACGGATGAGTCGAAATATTCGTCCACATCGTTATAACTTTTAAGCGTAGGCCACACCGTGAAGGATCACGTAGCCGGGACATCTTTTCATACTTCGGTTCACACCGCGAACTAAGCTAACCGAGCTAACTAAACTAACCCAAATATCCCGCTAAGCCATGTAAAATATGTCGCCCTTTGCCCCGCACGTATCCATAGCGTAGCACAGCGTTTCCCATTTAGTCAAAATAAAAGACCAGGTCGCAACATTCCCGCCTCGTTGTGGAACCAGACCTCAGGATGATAAAACTTTCGTAATTTTCCCCGAACTTGGATTATTTAGTAAAAATTAAGCAGCAGCTCCATACTTCGCACTAAATAGGCGATACCGAAATAATCTTAGTAAAACATTTTTACTAACAATAAATGTGTATTATTTTCAGAGATCTGAATAGCTAGGTGGTGGCTGAAAATCAGTGCCTTGCTCTTGAGCAAATTTTGCACTGAGCCACGACCTATTTGACTTGCTTTAACACACACAAGCTGTTGATAATTAGGTTAGTATTATGTTTTTATGCTTTTTTTTTCGTTTTAATTTTGATTTCTGTGTGTCTCTTTTAATCAATTTTCTCTATTATATTGTTGTGTGTGTGATGCAAGACAATAAACGTTTTATCTATCTATCTATCTACAATTTTTTAACCTAAACTTCTAGAAACATAGACAGAAAATAAAGACTGACTTTTGACACGTATAAGTGAAAAGGCAGGTTTGGGCGCGCGTTTAGTGTTCAAATCTATAGAAGATAGGTTTAATAATACGTCTGTAGTGATTCCAAGACTGGATCGACTAAGACTTTGTAACGATGGGTCACTAAAGGTATGGTCCTGTACAAAATACACACATTTTATTTTTTTCCTACTAAACTATTAGATTTGTGGCAAAATGTAATATGACAATATTTAATTAGGTCCTCGGTTGGCATTTTTTAGCGAGGTATCGTGAAAAAATTCAATGTCCGCAATATCGCTGAACCGACCCACTATGTCGCAAAGTTAAGGTAAATATAGTGTACAGTGTATAGCGCATCCCCAATTACGTAAGTGATTTCCCGAATCTAGAACAGGTCCAGGACCCAAAAAATATTGTCGTAAGGCAGTCTCTCCATTTTCTGTCTATGTTCCTCGAAGTTTAGGTAAAAAAATGCAACCTATTCCGATCCCTGATTATTTTCCTTAACGTAACCAGCTTGGGTCTAAAAATATTGAGTGAGTCACGAAGAAGCAGTATGAATATACCATGGCATGGTAGAACAATGTTTGGGAAACTCTTAGCACGTCACTACTTACTACGTATTTTCTTAGCTTAGCTGGCATAGTTGGCTGCATGCAACTACGTGAGCTTAGCTAAGTTAGCTTAGCTTTTTTAGTTTTAGTATGTATTAATATGTGGAACCGTTTTTAAATATTCTAGTTTATTATAGATTTTTATTGACATAGATCCGAGATCCAAAAACTACGTATCTTCAATTTAGATTATTAAAAAAAATTCTAGGAATGTTACGTCACAGAGCCTCTCCTACTTTATTAATAAAAATTAAGGTACTTTTTTAAATTTGCAAACTAATAAGAAATAAAAGTGGTGAATTCCTCTAGCGGCATGTACAACTGCTACAACAGTAGCAATTATCGAAAGACTAAATCTAGGACAAATACCAAATTTTGTTAAGATCAGGCTGAGTTTTGTGATAGGCTGATAACGTAAAACCACAATAATCAACGATATATATTATCTATCACCTTTAGGCACACACCGTTTTAGATAAAAATTAATACTAACATTTATTAGAAGATATTGTGATCAGCGTTGGAACGTAAATGGGCTTGATATAGGTTAGTTAGTTAGGTAGTCACAGTGTTCGGTAACAACTCTTACGTACAATACAAGGAATGTCCGAACGCAGCAGTACAAATGCTGCACACACTACACATAAAAATAATTTTGTTAGAAGAATGACGTGAATACGGAATCATTTTTTCAAGTTTATGGTATACAAGAATTTTCAGAGTTTAGAGATAAAAGCATGAGTACAAATGATCCCTCACAGTTTAAAGGTAGAAACATGGCACTTAATCCAAAGACTCCTCATACTTAGAGATAGAAACATAGTAATGAGTACAAATGGTACCTTACAGTTTAGAGATAGAAACACCGTAATGAGTAGAAATGGTTCCTCAC